TCAAAGTTAATATTCTTAGCTACTACAGCATTTTATATATAGTAAAGTAGCTGAATTCAGTTTATGTTCATCATGTTCATAGATTTTTTTTTTAATCTACTTCTGGTATGAACACGGCATGACACAGAAAATTCAATAATAATTTGTCTATTTCTGTCTCTCTTGAAAGTAATTATAGCCTTGTCAAATAATTCTGATTTCTTCCAAAGTTATTAATTAATGCATTAAATAATTAATTATTCAAGAATTCATTCACTTAGATTATAAGGTAACAGGAGTAAAGGTGCACTGGGCAGTATCTCGAGAGTATGTGTTTTGGTGTCAGTCAAATCACCAGGTGCCATTAACTAGTCATGTGACTTTGAGCAATTTTAACTTTTCTAAGCCTCAGTTTCCTCATGTTTAATGTAGGATAATAATACCTCCCTCATACAGTTATTGAAGGATAAAAAGAATTAATACATGTAAAGCATTTGCCATGGTGGTAAGTAGATATTTAGATGGATATATAAGAAATTAAATTTCTATATCTTAATCCTTAAAGCTTGACAATTATCTTTTTTAAGGAACATGGTAAAGAAATGCCTACTTAAAATCAACTACCTTGATTTTATAGTTAAAAGGGTACAATTATGGAAGCATAGTTGTATAATCCAATTGGCATCTAGTTTAGTGCCCCCACCACCACCACCACCTCAAGAGAATTAAACCTAGACAGTCCAACACTGATGTTTCTTCTGTTATTTAAACTCTCCAATGACAAAAATTCTACCACTTTTTGGGAGCCCTTTTTTAACATTTTGTCAATAACCACTTCACAAAACTGTAACAAATTTTTCCTTATGCTTTTCTCCTTCCATTCTGTTCTTATTGGAAGATGGAAAGTGATCATTCAGCATTCTCCCCTCACAGAAAAAGGAATTTCTTCTCTGGAGTTAATATTTTAAATGAGTCCAAGTGATAAACTTTCTTTATAAGACATATTTTCAATTTTTTTCATCTTTATCTCTGTTCCCTTTTCTGAATCTTTTCTACTTTCCCCATTTTTCTATAAAAACTGGAAACGCCTATTAGAAATAATATCCTACTAAGGCATAATTAACAAAATGAAAGGAATTTAAAAATTATCATTGTCTCTAACACATCATACCATAGTGCAGCCCAGCATCGTGTCACTGGTTCAATACAAGACGCGTATTGTGCTGATTCAGTCATGCTCTAAATGTGCTGCTCTGATTAACTTTGTGTATACGTTATTCATCCATTCTAAGTGTATCACTCCAGTCTAAACTGTTGAATGCCATACTGTGTTCTTTTGACAGTACGACAGTTTTTTAAATCAGCGTGGTAAAGCCTTTCCATTCGAGAACACGAAACCCAGAAGCTATTTAAACATTTAATAAATGTGACCACATACGTTTTCAAATTTCTGCATCAGAAAAAGTCATAAAGTCAATGACAAACAGAGAAAAATATTTGTAACACATATGACAAAAGACTAATACCCTACACATATAATGGGTGCCTAAGT